TTAAAGGCATGAAGCACTACACCTAGCACATTCTCATATTCTCTCTCTCTAAATCTGTGTGTGTGTGTGTGTGTGTGTGTGTGTGTGTGTGTGTGTGTGTGTGTCTGTCTGTCTGTCTGTCTGTCTGTCTATATGTTTTAGTTGGTTGGTTGGGGTTTTTTTGAGACAAGGTTTCTCTTTGTATAGCTTTGGCTCTCTGTAGACCAGGCTGGCCTCAAACTCACAGACATCCACCTGCCTCTGCCTCCCAGGTCCTGCGATCAAAGATGTGGGCTACCCACTGCCTAGCACATATTCTCAAATGTCAACTTTTTTATGGCTATGCAGCATTTCCTCATATGGCTATGTCATAATGTTCTTGTTACGGTTTAAATCTGGGAAGTCCCCCACAGGCTAGTTTTCAGGCTTGGCCTGTCTGTGGTGACTCTCTGAAGGCTCTGAAGTCTGTGGAAGATGGAACATGGTGGCAGAAATAAACCCTTAGAGGTGAGTAATGTAATATCCTTAAATTTGCAACCAATCCTATGTAAAACAGTTTTTTAAAAGTCAGGTGCAAGTTAATGGTATGAGAAAGGAGGCAGTTATCCAGATAATTGAAAATAAATAACAATTTGGGAATGGGAATACAGTTAAGTGGTACGCACAGAACCTCAATTTAACTAATGTCAACAAAAAAGGAGCAAGAAAAAGTTTTCTGACAAAATAATTGCACAGATCTTTCCTCTTTAAGCCTTCCCATTAACTAAAATATTGTCCTACTGACTCTTGAGGCTTTAGGCGTCACTTGTATTTTAAGGTTTTTCTTAAATTTCAACATAAAAATATGACTTTTTTTTTTCTATTTTAGGCAATCAATAAGACAGTAAGTCTTTTGTTGTTAAATCAAGGTCTCACTATGTAGCTCTAACTGGCATCAAAGTTGCTATCCTTCTGCCTCAGGCTCCTCAGTGCTGGAATTACAGGAGACTATACCCAATGTGTTGAAGTTTTGTTTTTTGTTTTTGTTTTTTGTTTTTTGTTTTTGTTTTTTGTTTTTTGGTTTGGTTTTTTGGTTTTTGGTTTTTTGGTTGTTTTCGAGATGTGTTGAAGTTCTAATTAGGAAAGAGAGAATACTATACAACTTAGGTGAGCAAAAGGCTTAGTAGTTAACGACTGGGATCCTGAAACAGAGAGACTGAGAAGGGCAGCAATTATTGATGAAGCTTGAAAATTTAACCACTGAAGCAATGAGGCCGGGTACAGGGCAGCCTGGTGGTGAGACGCTACTGAGATCGTCCATGCTGACTTTGCACAGACTAATACAAAGCTCAAAAGGAAACTTAAAACCAGGAGCTCCCAGTCAGTCTCTGAAAGAGGACCCTGGTCTACAGAGCAAGTTCCAGGACATCCAGGGCTTCAAAAGAGAAGCCATGTCTTGAAAAACTGGATGGATGGATGGATGGATGGATGGATGGATGGATGGATGGATGGACAGACAGATGGAGAAAGGAAAGGAAGGAAGGAAGGACGGAAGGAAGGAGGGAAAGAAGGAAAAAAAGATGGGGTTGGGATGGGCAGGGGTGTCTGGAGCAGGTGGATCTCTGTGAGTTCTAGGCCAGCTTGGTCTATAAATCAAGTTCCAGGACAGCCAGGGCTGAACATATGCTTTTTAGAGGCAAGTTTGGAAGCCATAATTAGGAACAGATAGATCTACTAGCCTAACTTCCAGCCCTTATCTTATATAGAATATGAGAGAGAAATATTCAATACTTTGGAATTCTACAAGAGTTAAAAACAAAACTTAAGTTCTGGAAGCATACCCATGGGCATCTCCAATTTTCATGTGGTGAGAAAACGTCTAGAAAAAGCAAAATTTTTGATAGCTGCTGATGACAATAATCAGGTCTCCTGAGAAATTTGGTTTCTTTAAGAATCCCCCTATTGATAGTGTCCAAGGAATTTTTTTTAAGTGTGTGTGTGGGGGGGGAGGCATCTCAACAGATAAAGTGAAGTTTTTGCTTAGGGAACAATTTCAGGCATCCACAGTGCAATTTCTGTAAATCACAGATTGAATGTTGGGCATGCTACTGGGTTTAAAACCACCTCCAGGTCTGAAGAGATGGCTCAGTGGTTAAGATGGCATTTCTTTTCTAGGATCTAAATTCACTTCCCAGCACACACACCAGACCGTTCACAATTGCCTGTGAATCCAGTCTCAGGAGATTCTAGTACCCCTGTGCTAAGGAACCTGTATATACCCACGCATGTCAAGAAAACACACAAAAATAAACATATCAAAACCAAACAACGACAACAAAAAAATAGCACTCAGGAGGCAAGGGCAGGCAGATAGCTAAGAGTTCAAGGGCAGCCTGGTCTGCAGAACAAGTTCCAGGACAGCCAGGGTGATTACACAGAGAATCCCTGTCTAAAAAACCAAAATAAGAATAAGAATAAATGTTGTGATGATGGTACCCTTTAATCCCAGCCCCTAGGAAGCAGAGGCAGTCAGATCTCTTTGAGTTCAAGGGCAATCTGGTCTACAGAGTGAGTCCCAGGACAGTCAAGGCTATACAGAGAAACCCTATCTCAAAAATATAAGTAATAAAATAATCTAAATTTAAAAAAATCAGATTCAAAAGGTGAATTACTACATATGGGTTTTGGTCTTTGTGGACAGATGGTGGGGAAAATAGAATGTGTTTTTGTTTCCAAGTGTTAAACTCCCTGGACATTTTCTGCTGCAAAAGCCCAAAGGAGGAAAAAAAACAAAATCAGAGTTTGATACCTCCTTCTCCAGAGATCTGCTTTATTGACCTAGCTACCCGGGGAGTCTCACCCAACAGGACAACAGTTAGCCTGAATTCTGCTATGCACTCCAACTTTGGTAAAAATCTAGCCCTGGACGGAACCATTTCAGAACAGCAATGTTTGTTTCCTACAGTACAAGCAGACCACAGTCAAATTCTTCAATTACAAAGATAATTTGCTAATTTGATGACCATAAAATAAACCTGTTGATTCTGTTGTCTGGCAGAGAGAAGAAAGTTCTGGACTTTGTAAGTTCTATATACGTTTTCCAGTTATAATTTTAGACTTTTACTGGAAAAATAACTAAGATACACTACACATTAGGACAATCCCATATGGATTTATTGGGGTTAACAGTCTGCAATATCAGGCTTTTGATGATGGCAACATGCATTCTTGGGGCGTTCTGCCTCTGCCTCCCAGGTGCTGGGCTCAACGTAGTGCTGATATAGTTCAGGACCTACAATGCTGAGTTTTTAAAAGGGGGAACAAACACAATAAAGTTCCCTCTAGTAAAATAATCTAGCATTAAAATAATGTTCTGCCAGACAGTGGATGCACACACCTTTGATCTCTGCTGCACTAAGGAGGAGGAGGCAGACAGATCTGAGTTCCGAGGCTAGTCTGGTCTACATAGTGAGCTCTAGGACAGCCAGGACTACACAGGGCGACCCTGTCTTGAAAACACCCAATGAAACCTATCTTCAAATTTATAGGTCCATTTTTACCGAAGGTTATGCTTTTCAGTTTCTTCCAATTTAACCATGCAGAAATAGGTAAATAGTGTTTAAATATTTTTCTGTTCATATTTTTAATTTTGTTCATGTTTAAAATTTAAGACTTTTTATACACCATAATCTAGAGCTTAGACACTGAGGAAATGATTAAGAAAGATACACTGAATCTGAGGTCAGCTACTTCCTCTCCTGAGAAGTATCCTGAAACATTTCCTGTGTGGGTATACATTTACATTGTTCAAAAACGTATATACATTGAAACATTATACATGTTCTCATGAGCATTTATTAGCTACATGTCTTATCACAACTTTTTACATATATAAACTCTGATCATGTTTGTCCATATATGTAATTTGCTAATGGGAAACACTTGTGGTCAGTATTGTATTCTAGAAAACAGAACTGTGGCATATTTGAGACTCCATCAAGTTCTAACTTGAATCAATAGCAAAAGGGTTCCTGGCTCCCTCTAAAATTAAAAATTTAGTATGCACCACTACGGCCATATGAAGTTGACTATTAAGGAGCTTCTAAATGTTGCGTTTCGTTTTGTTCCATTACCAAACATTAGGTTTGATGAAGTTATGGGGAGATCCTTGGGTGTTTGGGGGTGAGGTGGGGTGGGGTGCGGGTCTCAATCTAGACTACTTAAAATACAAAAAAGGGATTGTTTTAAGCCCCCAGGGAACTATTGAAACCAAAGCCTTTGGTAATAGGGTAAGAAGCAAAAGAGAGACTTTAAAATGCAATTTTGTAACAAATTGAAGCAGCATGGAAACCTTCAGCGGTGGAAGTCTGGCTTTCCCTAGATTCCAAACAAAAGATTTGACTTCCTGCGCGCCCCGCTCGACAGCCTGCCTGGATTCCATGCTTCCCCTTCAGGGCCAGCATTCGGGGGAAGGCCAGGCTGCCGCCATTCTGGAGGCTCGGTGTCCCGGGAGGGAGCCAGGCCCCAGCAAAGGGTCCTCAAGAGCTGGCGCAGAACTCCCGCCCGTCCGAAGGCGACCGAGGCCGGTGCGAGGCTCCTCCGGTGCAGGGGGCAGGAGAGGAAAACAGCGCGCAAACCCAGTACCGCCCATCCCTTATCAGCGTCTGAGGGGAAGGGTGGAGAGCAGAGGAAACCGCGGGCCCCGCGCCCGAGCTCTCCCGCCCGAGCGCCTTTTAAACTGCGTTTCTGCACCTCTCGCCCTGCGCCTCGGCGGCTGGAACCCGCGCGAGCCGCCCAGCCAATCCGCGCCGCGCTTCCTCCCGGCGCCCGCCAATGGCGGCGCGCGTTCTTGGGGCGTGCGCGAGACAAGCTCGCCCCCCTCTTCCCCAACCCCACGCACTAGCTTGTGTGTGGGCTAGGCTCGCTGCGGGCTCCAGGCTTGGCCGCACTTGCTCACCAGTCGTGCGCCGGGGGCTTTTGTGGCGGGGCCGGCCTAGGCTTTGTGTCCGAGTTCTGCGCCGTGCCCGCGGCGCTGCTCCGGGTCAGGGATTCCCCCTAAGCGGCGGGCGCAGCCCCCGGGACCAGTGAGCGAGCGAGAGAGCGCGCCGGCGTGAGCGGCGGCGACCGTGAGGGGCCGAGGAGGAGAGGAGGAGGGGGACGAGATGCCGGAGTTCCTAGAGGACCCTTCGGTCCTGACCAAAGACAAGTTGAAGAGCGAGTTGGTCGCCAACAACGTGACGCTCCCGGCCGGCGAGCAGCGCAAGGACGTGTACGTGCAGCTCTACCTGCAGCACCTCACGGCGCGCAACCGGCCGCCGCTCGCCGCGGGAGCCAACAGCAAAGGGCCGCCCGACTTCTCGAGCGACGAGGAGCGCGAGCCCACTCCGGTGCTCGGCTCCGGGGCCTCCGTGGGTCGCGGTCGCGGCGCCGTCGGCAGGGTAAGGCGAGCTCCCCCGCCGCCCCCGGGTCGGGGGCCACGGAGACGGGCGTTTGGCGGCCGCCGCGCGTGCTCGCCAGCGGGGCTGACCCCCGCGCGGGGTCCCCGTGCCGGCGGCGCCCCAATCGCGAAGCTGCCGGGGAGGGCACGGAGAGGGGAGTCCTCGATGCGGGCCGCCGCGGCTTTGCCACTTTGCTGCTCGGGCCCGGCGCCCCGCCAGGGTCCCCGCTCGTGTGCACGGTCCGGAGTGGGTGTAGACGCGGCCTTCCGAGCCGTTTTCTAAAGCCCCACAGGCTTGGCCCCAGCACGCGAGGTGAAGTTCTAGCGTTTTCCCGCTTTGGCACCGAAGTGATTCGCAACAGTGTCAGAGCGCTCCCTGGAGGGCAGTTTGCGACATAGTCATTTCTGTCCCCCCCCCCTTTTTTTAAATAAAGGCATTCCCGCCTTTTTATGTTTTGTTTTTTTTTTTTCTCTACTGATGGAGGGCTTTTTGAACCGTTTGTTTCCTCGTATGTCTTATTCTTCCAGTCAGCAGGCCCCGCTTTAAGTGGGTTGGCTGTACTATAAATGGAACGCCTTACAGTGCGTTTGGAAAAGTTAGTTCTTGAAGACATACTGGAGAATCCCAGCTAGTTAAGAGTTTGTTTATCGTTGTAAGATTTTGCCGGAGGAACTAAAGATCCGGAAGCAAAAATTAAAAGTTTATGGCATTGATGTGTCAATAGTACAATTTGATGCCTCGGACCAGTGAAATGTAAAATAGGTTCCCGCCAGTGTCTACCGTTTTGTTGCTGGGTTTTGTGTGGGTCTATATTTAGTTAACAGAATTCAAGTCATTAAAAATTAGTTAAGACTATTGATTTGGTGTAACTTAAAATCTTGGAGAGACACGTGAATGTTTTGATTGGTGTCGCTGCTGTTCACTGGTATCGCAGTTTGCCTCTCGTTTTGGTGCTGGGAATTGAACTCGAAGCTGCTTCTTTGCTTAGCATGTACTAGCGGGGAACTACACCTCAAGCTGTTTGCTTCTTCGAAAGTTTACAGTGTTTAGAGTTAATTTTTTTTAAAATGTGGGTTTTTTTTTTCCTGATTGCTTGAACAAGAGTGAAAACTATGTCAGGTGCATGTGTGGATTTAGTTGGGAAAGCATTTACCCTGAGCTTTCATTTCCCTAAGGGTCTTAAGATTGGCACGAATCAGTTTCTAGTGAGCACTAGATGAATAAAAGAGCCTCGTGTTGGTTGGTTGGTTGGTTGGTTGGTTGGTTGGTTGGTTGGTTGGTTGGGTTGGTTGGTTGGTTGGTTGGTTGGTTGGTTGGGTTGGTTTAAGAAATTTTTTTGAGGCATAGTTTCTCTGTGTAACTGCCCTGACTGTCCTAGAACTCGATTTTGTAGATAGGCTGGCCTTGAACTTAAAGAGATCTGCCTGCTTTTGTCTCCCAAGTGCTAGAGACGTAGGTCCCCATACTTGGCTGAAGTGTGTCCCTCCCTTACCTGTTTTTCTCCAACTTGTTCCTGTTTTAATTGTGTGTATGGATGTTTTTCTGCATATATGTAGGCTCATCGTGCATATATGAGTGCTCCCTGAGAGGACCAGAGAGGGCGTCAGATCCTTTAAAGTTAGGTGGTTTTGATCTTCCTTGTGGGTACTGAGAATCAAACCTGAGTCCTGGAAGAGCAACCAGTGCTTTTAGCCGCTGAACCATTTCTCCAGACCCTTATCAAGTCTTTAAAACATATTTTCCATTTCAAATGGCACATGATGGGGCAGATTTTCTATTAAATCATCCAAGTGTTTGTCCAAGTGTCTTAAGCCACAAAGCTTTTGGTTGTGTGTAAAAACTACATCCCGGGTCACCTGGTGGAGGCTGGAGGACCAGGAGTTGAAAGGCATCTGCCACATAGTGGGATGATACTCTCTCATGGTTCCACACGGAAGACTTGAGCCCAAGACAGAACCAGTGCTGTTCCTTCTCATGTTTGAGGTCCTGATGTGTGCTGATTTCCTTTCTGACATTGAGTCTCACAAGGGGTGTAGTCCTGCCTCAGCCTCCTGAGTGCCCACATTATAAGTGAGCCTCCGGATGTGTTCTTTACTGTAGATTGAGCTCTGCACATCTAGCTTTTTTTTTTTTTTAAAGGTTTTATTTATTTATTCATTCATTACATGTAAGTACACTGTAGCTGTCTTCAAACACCCCATAAGAAAGGATCAGATACCATTGCAGATGGTTGTGAGCCACCATGTGGTTGCTGGGATTTGAACTCATGACCTCTAGAAGAACAGTCAGTGCTCTTAACCACTGAGCCATCTCACCAGCCCTAGCTTTTTTAATCCTTAAAAACTGTCATATTTTCTCTTCCCAGCTCAACTTACATGAAAGATCCTGCCTTTTTTTGTGAGCACTTACTATTGGGGCTAGGCTGTACATTAAGAGGAGAGGGACAGTTTAGGATGCTCCAGGCGTAGTTTTGATGCCCAGCACTTGGTGGAGAAACAGTACTTGCTATATCCCATGGATGCTCTCTCCAACCTATCTCTCCATGGTGGGGCTTCTTTCTCTCAGTGGGTCTCATAGCCATAGGTTTGTATTCTCCACCTGCACTATTTAAATATTTTTAAATGTATAGTCTTGATTGGACTCAATGATATCAACTACTCAAGAAACTAATATTGGCAGTCAGTACGTGAATAAAGTGAGTTGTGATTTAGGAATTAAATTACCACTTTAAAGTCCAGCATAGGGAAGGTATTTTGAATTTCAGGAAAAAATGTAGAACATTTTTGATTGCTTGTGTAAAAGTTATTCTCGTGGTTTTTTTTCATGCCCTGGTCACAGGTTCTACCATGCCCAACCTTCATGAATAATTTTAAATTAGGGCTAATTTCATAGAGTCATAAGATTGTTTCGTATGTTTTACCATCAGAGAATTTTACCTTGGATGCATATGATGGGTTCTGCGATTTGTGTGTAAGGGGGGAATTTTTAGGCTTTTAATTATCTGTCTTGATGCCAGTATTTTTAGGTGTTAAGATCACCTAGATAGTGGGCACAGGGGTGAACATTTGTGGAGCTGGTGATCTTGTGTTAGAGCATGCTAAGCATGCAGGTTTAGCTGTTAGGGGTCCAGTGGAGCATAGTGACATTCTTTGGTGGGCCTGTCAGGGGAGACTGCTTGTTTTGTCCTGGGGGTTGAATCCAGAACTTCAAGCATGCATATTCGTTTGTTTATTTAGAGAAATTCTTGCTATATAGCTCAAGCTGGCATTGAACTTATCCTCTTCTCAGGCTCCTTGTGTGGAGGTATGCCCCACTGGGCCTATGTTGATGATCTATGGGTGGGTGGTTCTTCCTGTTTTGTTTTGGGTTGTTTTAAGACAGGCCTTCCTTCCCACAACTCAGACTGGACCTAACTCTTGAGGAGTAGTAGTACAGAAGAATAAAATACAGCTAGATACATAACTTGTTCCAGGCAGTATTTTTTAGCTGGATATGCTGGCTCATGCCTAGTCCTAGAACTCGGGAGATGAAAGCAGGAGGATTGCTGAGAGTTCAACAAGGTCACCCTGGATTACAGTCTTTAAGAGCGCTGACTGCCCTTCCAGAGAACCTAGGTTTGCTTCTCAGCATACTTACAATCTGTAACTCCTTGTTCCAGGGGATCTGATACCCTCTTGTGGTCTCCACAGGTACTGACTGAATGTACATAGTTAAAGCTACCTTAAAGATGGTAATTACACACAGTTAGTACTTCTTGGTACTGCTTTGTTAAGAGTATACACCAAACTACCTACTTTCCAATATTGGTTCTTATTAAATTTAAATTTATTAGGTGGTGTTATTTTCCTGGAGCTTTTCCCCCTACAGATTAAATTTTGATATCAAATAGGCTGTTGGTGGACCCCAGCTTTCTGGTTCATATTATGCAAGCATATTGCCTGCTTCAAAATGTTTTTCTTGTTCACTTAAAGGTTTTTCATTATGGAGATGTAAATTCAAGAGGCTTACGTTGTTTCTTTTCTTTTACTTTTTTTTTTTTTTAAAGGGAAGAGCATGCAAGGCAAACGCTCCAGTATGGACTTATATTCACAGCCCCATTGTTTCTGTTAAGAAGTGTTTTGCTTTTTTAATGACTTAAATATGGGTGTTCTGCCTATGTATATGTTTATGTACCACTTGTGTCCAGTGCCTTAGGGGGCCATTCAGATCCCTGACACTATGAAGAATCAGATTGGGCCAGGCATTAATTCCAGGACTCCCAAGAGTATGTAAGGTTTATATTAGATGTATCAAAAGTTAATTTATTTTACTTTGCTTTTATTTGCTTTTGGACACTAGATGCCGTTGTTATCTCTTCAGTTAGGTAATTACCACCCTATCACTGAGCTGCCCTCAACCCCCAAGAGCAGTGTTTTCATTTTTAGTTTATGTACATTGGTGTTTTGACTGCATATATGTCTGTGAAAGTGTCGGATCCCTTGGAACAGACAGTTGTGAGCTACAGACAGTTGTGAGTGCAGTGTGGGTGCTGGGAATTGAACCTGGGTTCTCTAGATGAACAGCCAGTGCTCTTAACTGCTGAGCTATGTCTCCAGCCCCAGATACTGGGTTTTAGTTTAATCAAATTGCTGTGGCTAATGTGAGATAAGTCACCTTGTTGATTGCATAGAGAATGTCATGTAAATGATTACTTTCATATAGAGGAGATAATTGTACTTTGTCTACAGAAAGCCACAAAGAAAACTGACAAGCCCAGGCTAGAAGATAAAGATGATCTGGATGTGACAGAGCTCTCTAATGAAGAACTTCTGGATCAGCTTGTGAGATATGGAGTGAATCCTGGTCCCATTGTGGGTAAGTTGATCAAGTCAAGTACCTTTGCCAAGAAGCAAGCCCCAAATCATTGTTTTACTCTTATTAATGGTTATAATTTGGATCTTCTGAGACCATTTGTCATTATTTATTTAACCAATCAACACTTTAGTTTCCTAAACTCAAACTAGAGTGTTGGTAGATAATATGTAAAATTACCAATTGCTGATATTGTGCTATTCTGTCAGCCTCATGGATCTTACCTGGCTGAGTCATCTGCATCAGTGAGCTAGACAATAATGAGTAAAGTATTTGGATCCTAATCGTCTCCGTTTCCTAATTAGCACTAAGGGTTTTGTTCTAAGTCTGTCTAAAGAACAAACAAAACAGAAGGTGTGCAAGAATTCAACACTCTAGATCTGTCATTGGCTTTTCTAGGTAGCAGTGTGTTTGCCAGGTTGATCATGCCTTTCTTACAGAGTTTAGGTGGTAACCTCGAGACTGAGAGAAATCCACACAGAAATTCAGGGTTATGTGAAAATTTGAACACAGTATGGAGATTGGGTGGGTTTTGTTACAGCTGTAGTTGGAAACGGTAAGTTGGTTTTGTCTCTGTCCAGTCTAGATCTCACTGTAGCCTGCCTAGCTTTGCCACTCAGATTTGTTGGAATTAAAAGTGTACACTTCTCAGGCTACTCACAGACAAACTTGTGGTTATAATTACCAACAGACATTTGATATCTTTTGATCTGAGAGACACTAAAAAATACATATTACATGAAAATGTACTAAATTCCATGTTAATGTATCAGTCTTAAGACCTCTTATCTAAAACTTAAGAAAAGATATATACCTAATGTAAAGTAGAAATTAAAGATATTAAAGTATGACTTATAGAATTTGACACCCATAGTTAAGTGACTGTTTATAGGCATATTGATCTCCGTGTTGTGAAGTGTAATCATTTTCTGTTGAAGGTTTCCATTTGTTTATATAAGGCTCTTTGGGGAGCTGTAGAGCTGGCTCAGCACTTAAGAGCACTAGCTGCTCTTTCCAAAAGATCTGTTTGATTCCCAGCACCACGTGGCTAAAAACTAACTGTCTGTAACAGGACATACAACACTGTCCTGGCCGACACAGGCACATGGTGTACAGACCTACGTGCCAACAAAACACACATTCACATAAACAATAAAATCTTTTTTAAAAAATATAATCTTGTATTAACATCCCAGAGAAACAGTTATTTTGGAAAAGAGTGCATTGTGTATTATTATTTAATCACTCTAGAAATAAAAAGCATGTTGCTTAAAACTGGTTTTCTGTAGGGTCTGGAAAGATGGAAAAACTTGTACTGTTTTTGCTGAGGACCAGGGCATTATTTTGAGAACCCACGTTGGGCAGCTCACAGGCCTGTAACTCCAGCTTCAGGGGATCCAGTGCCTCTGGTCTCTGCACACACACCATTTTTTTGTTTGTTTTCAATCTTTTAAAAAGATAATTTCATGCCAATATAATAGAACTTTTCCCTTAACACAGGAACAACCAGGAAGCTGTATGAGAAAAAGCTGTTGAAACTGAGGGAGCAGGGAACAGAGTCGAGATCCTCTACTCCTCTTCCAACAGTCTCTTCCTCTGCAGAAAACACAAGACAGAATGGAAGTAACGACTCTGACAGATACAGTGACAATGACGAAGGTAACATTTTAAATGCTCTTAAAAACATGTGGGGCTTTTTCCTGACTCAGTGTTGACCATGAGAAAGGTATCATTTAAAGCAGTATTGATCAGATATACGTAATTTAACTTTTGTTTCAAAATGATAACTTTTGTAAAGGCAAAGTTCTCCTTTCTCCATTATCAGGTCTACAGAAAAAAACATTAATTTGGTATTTATCTCACTAATTTTCATATTTAATGATCAATTTGATAATGCTACTTTATTTTTTTTAATTCTATATAAATGATAGGTTGGGTCTTCTATGTGCCATTTTTGTTCCATCTAATGTTTTTTGGTCCATATTACGTTTATGTGTTTATTTCTTATAATTAATGTGCAGTGTTAACATTTAAATATAACATTTCTATTAATAAGCATATGAGTTATTTAAAAGATTTTTAGGTATTTTTGGGACTAGAATAGGAAGAATATTTCTTTTTAAAATTAGAATAATGCAGAATTTCATACTTAAGAAGTTTTAACTCATAATTTGCTTATTTTGTAAGTACTTAGTGTAGCTATGCCTGCCAAGGCACTATGTACTATATACCAGATTAGTTGCTGAGAGTGTGAAGTATAGGGCCTTTTCTTCAACAACACTATTTTAGCAAGGAGGCAAATAAGACCAGCCCAAACCAGTCATGCTTAAACTTCCTGCCTCTTTTGCCTCTACAGGAAAGAAGAAAGAACACAAGAAAGTGAAGTCCGCTAGGGATTGTGTTCCTTTTTCTGAACTTGCATCTTCTCCCTCTGGTGCATTTTTTCAGGGTATTTCTTTCCCTGAAATCTCCGCCCGTCCTCCTTTGGGCAGGACTGAACTGCAGGCAGCTAAGAAAGTACATACTGCTAAGGGAGACCCACCTAGGGAGACTTGTACTGATACAGCCTTGCCTGGGAAGGGACAGGCGCAGAAGTTAGCCCCTGGACGGAGTTTATTTATTCCTTCAGAGTCTAGCTATGATAGATGTGTAGAGAAAAGTTCTTCACCATCTTCTCAGCGTGAATTTGCTGCCAGGCTGGTCTCTGCTGCAGCTTCTCCTTCACTGATAAGAGAAACCACTACTACTTACTGTAAGGACATAGTAGAAAATATTTGCCATGGAGGGAAGAGTAGAACTCAGCCATCTCGTGCTGAGGAGCCTGGTGTTTCAGATCAGTCAGTTTTCTCTAGTGAAAGAGAAGTACTGCAAGAGTCGGAGAGGTCACAGGTCATTTCTCCACCACTTGCTCAAGCAATCCGAGACTATGTCAATTCTCTGTTAGTCCAGGGTGGAGTCGGCAGTTTGCCTGGAACTTCTAATTCTGTACCCACACTGGATGTAGAAAACATATGTAAGAGACTTGGCCAGTCCAGCCGTCAAGAATCCGAATCCCTGTCCCCTCCCCGAAAAGTCCCTAGACTCAGTGAGAAGCCAGTAAAGGGAGGGGACTCAGGCCCCTGTGTGGCATTTCAAAATACACCTGGATCCGAACATAGGTCTTCTTTTGCCAAGAGTGTTGTCTCTCATTCTCTTAATACTTTAGGAATAGAAGTGTCAAAGCAGCCACAGCGTAATCAAATAGATACCCCAGAACCATCTTTTCCTCTCCACGAGTCTATCCTAAAAGTCATCGAAGAGGAGTGGCAGCAGATTGATAGGCAGCTGCCCTCGTTGGCATGCAAGTATCCAGTTTCCTCCAGCGAGGCAACTCGGATATTATCAGTTCCAAAAGTAGATGATGAAATCCTGGGGTTTATTTCTGAAGCCACCCCACGAGCAGCCACTCAGGTGTCCTCCCCTGAGTCTTGTGATAAACATGTGGACTTAGCTCTCTGTAGATCTTATGAAGCTGCGGCATCAGCATTGCAGATTGCAGCCCACACTGCCTTCGTAGCTAAGTCTCTGCAGGCCGACATAAGTCAGGCTGCACAGATGATGAACTCAGACCCCAGTGGTGCACAGCAGGCACTCGGGATTCTGAACAGAACCTATGATGCAGCTTCCTATCTTTGCGATGCTGCATTTGATGAGGTGAGGATGTCTGCCTGTGCCATGGGGTCTTCTACCATGGGCCGGCGGTATCTGTGGTTGAAGGACTGTAAGATTAATCCAGCTTCTAAGAATAAACTGACTGTTGCCCCCTTTAAAGGTGGAACATTATTTGGAGGGGAAGTACACAAAGTTATTAAAAAGCGTGGAAATAAGCAGTAATAAGGTTTAGAACAAAGACAGAAACTTTGACTTGGAGAATTTGTGACTCCTAAGAATTTAGTCTCCTAATAGAGCTAATTTCAAGGTGTTAAGATTCCACTCGTCAAGTTAGAGTATAATTGCAAATATAGAAGCCTAGTACAGTTGAAGCTTAAGAGATCACATTTGCCTTACAAGAGTTTACAGCTTCCTATTTTACACACTGTAGATTTACAAGGAATTCCAGCAACTAAAATAATCGGTAGAATCCTCACTTTAGTATGCCGTTCACATACTTCCTTATGTGTAGGTCAGAGGTAAACATGGTTAGTCACTTGAAACACTGTTTTTGTTGTTGTTTTGTTGTTTGTTTCTTTTCCCTTCCTGCTCACAGGCGTTTATTTCTGAGAAGTGTAGTGTGTAGGCATGCCAAGTCTCACAGCTTTTGGGATTTCAGTCTGCTCTGCTTTCTGCTGCTTACTTTGATTGCATAAATTGGTTTGGCTAAAAGTCCTTCTGTTGTCCACTCATTACATTGCAAGACATCTTACAGGTGATCTTTGTACCATAATTCTTAGCTAAGCATCTTCATGCTCTTAACATCTGTTCACACTCTTGTTCATACTTCTGTCTGCAACGAATTTCATAATTCTAGATGAGTGTAACTCTTTTAAGTGCCAGTACACAGACTTACCGATTGATTCACAGACAAGTGTGTGCATGTATCAAAGGGAAAGGCACTGCTGCTCAGTGGTAAGTGCGTAAGACTAGCATGCATATGAGTTCAGTTCACAGCCACTTTAAAAAAGTTTAATGAGAATTTAAATTGAGAGATACTTTGTAAACAAATGATAAGAGGTAAACTTGCATACCTATATGTACATATAAACACATTTATGCATATTTTTACTAAATGAATAGAAAAGGCAGTGTACAGTTTTATGACTGAGAGAGGAGGTAGCCAACAATTCCTGGTTATACAAGTACTTGGACCACATTTGAGGAACACAGCTAGGGGTGATAAGTAGAATTCTGGTATACCTCATGTTCACTCAACATGACTATTTTGTTAGATGAACAAGACACTACAAAGATGGGGCTTTTTTATTTTCTACGTGTATTTAAAGGTATTTTGTACATCCTACGTAGTTAAATTTCCGATCTGGATGCTAAAACCAAGTTATTTTCTAAAAATCTTGAGAATTTTTTACTATACCCCAATGTCTGTTTCTGAATAAAGCAATGTATTACTCTGTTTTCACTTGTATGGTTGTAAGGTAAGGTATCCTAGTTATAGAGATGGAAAATAGTCTCAAGCATAATCAAATGCAATCTTGGTGTACATGTCTGCTGCTCCCATGTTCTTAAGACTACACATTCCATCTCTGCAGCTTTGTTACTTGTCTTCTAAAATGTACATGTATACATGTACCTGTTAAGTGCTGTGTGATTTCTTTAAAGCAATGTATTCCTGTAGAATGCTTCTACAAATTCAATAAAGTTGTTAAATTTGAACAGTTTTGTGTGGTCTCCAGAAACATGTTTTATGTGTGCTTTATTCTTGGAGTTTGAACAATGTGGATGAACATGCCTTTCCCGTTTCCATTGAAATACTCCAGTAGTGACTAAAAATATTATAGTTGTCACATGTCCTTTTCACTGTTTGAGGACTGTGTATTTAATTGGCTGTTAAAATCTACATTTGAACAAGAACTTAATTTGTAACCACATAGCTTATTTGTCTAATCAGTTTTTGCTTGATAATATTTATTTATTTATGTACTTATTTTGCTCTGTGCTGTCTAAGGTTTCTTAAGAAAGAACAAAAGTAGATTTTAGAATGCTGGATAGAGATAACGTTCTTAGATCTGGTGACAGCGTTGGGTATGCTTGGTTGCTTGGTCTTAATTGACCTGTTTGAACTATTTTGGTTACAACCACTATCTTGGGGGAGGGAGAATGGCAGGTGTATGTGGTCTACTAGGGTTAGATTAGAAGGCCAGCAAGGCACAGAGCTCTCTTGATCAGTTTGAAACATGGCTACATTAAGCTTGTATAAAATTAAGCTTTAAGAATTGATTCTATTCTTGTTTCTTTGCTAAGAAAGCCAGTTTCTAGACCTGCCTTTCTATGGTAAATGGCCACAAAAGTAGAGAAGTTCCTTTTTGTTTTGAGACAGTCTCACTATGTAGCACATGCTAACTTGAACAGGAGCTCCTCCTGTGCCTGTAGCCCCAATGCTGGGGTTACAGATTGCTACCATGGCTGCTGGGAAGTGCTGCTTAAATTTGCATTTCGAATTATGATAAAACCAAGGTTAAAAAATTAGAATACTCACCTTTTTTATTTTTTTATTTATATATGCTATTGGATTACTAACTGTAAGAGACTTAATAATTTTGTTTATTATTTTGGTGCTAGGGATTGAGCCTAGCACCCCAAACATATTTGGTCTTTACTGAACTACAGCCTCTAAGGGCAGACTTTATTAGCATTAAAGCATTACAGTCACATCATTGGAAGTTACCATTAATTATTAAATGATTGGTGCCACACAATCTTTTTCATTTTTAAAATTACCCTTTTCGTGATATTTTAGTAGGTAGCCCTTGTTATACAGCAGAAATGTATTACAAGGACAAAACAATAGTCACTTCCACATTTGCATTGGTTTTTAGTGAAACACCTCCCTAGGCGCAGTTTGAAACCTCTCTAATCCTAGTTAAAATCCCATTCTAGGGGTGGGAATAATGGAAAAGAGTAAGTAGGAAGAAGTAACCAGATTAAACAGTGGTACAGGATATAAAAAAAAAAAGACTTAAGATTATAAAAGCGTCTGGGCTGTTCTGTTTTCTATAAAAGGGTTTAAGATAAATCTTACTAGACAGTTTTTCTCTGTTAATGATAATAAAAAGATTGTCGAGTGTGCTCATGTACCTACAACCGGGGTTCCGAAGTAATGTTAGTAAAACGTAACTTCAGCATTCCAGCGCATAATGGTTTCTTCAATGTTATTTCCAGACTCTAAAATAGAGCTCAAGCTTGAGAAGAGAGAGCCACTCAAGGGCAGAGCAAAGACGCCAGTGACACTCAAGCAGAGGAGGACTGAGCACAATCAGGTATCTGTCATTTTACGATCCCCGTGTCCAGTTGTGTCATCCGACCAGTAGCATCCATCTCGAGTCTTGACCTTTGATAAACAGTAGGCGCACACAGTGCAGCTGCTCCCTCCACAGACGCGGTTTCATGGATGAGTGGTGCGGGCCACATCCTTTGTGAGGTGTGTCCTCAGCATAGCCTCCGGTGTTTATTGGGCTGAGCATAACTCGTCAAGCAGCCTGTTTGAAATTTGGGCACAACAGTTTTGAACCTGGGGTGTCAAGTATGCTACGCCAGTGTTCCACCCTCATGCTTCCTCTTGAGAGGGTTATTTTAGAAAATAAAATGCACCGTTTGTTTTGTTTGATGCAGCTTCTTTGAAAAGTTGGGAAAGTTTTATATTTGTCTTTGTGTCTAGATTTCTCAATTGGATTTACTTTGATTATCTGTAGCTTCTTGTTGACACTTGGAAGCTAGAATGGTTCATTAGTTAAGATGACAGTTTCCTCTTTGGGGGATGGGATAGGTAGAGTTTTCAAAAGGAAACTGGAGGGAGAATAAGCATAAGGCATTATTAATACGTTGTTTTACAGAGGAAAATTACTAGCTCTGATTTAGGCTCCTAGCTTCTTTTCCTTGGCTTTATTCTGTAACTTAAAAATGTGTTACTTTGTAATTTAATCTGTCTTTTCCGTGTTCTGTCTGCCTCTGGTTTCTGTGGTGTTTTTGCAACAGTGTTTCACAGTGAATCCCTGGGCTGCCTGACCAGGCTAGCCTCTAACTTGTAAAACTTTCTGCTTCCCTCCTTTCCTGTGATCCGAGGGGAGAGGCAGGGTCTGTGTACTCCTGGCCCTCCTGCCTGCACCTCCCAAATGCTAAGATTACAGGGGTGTACCACCGATCCTGGCCAAAAATGGTTTATTGCATAATTAAATTGAGCCTGAACAAGCAATAAGTCTATATTAATTCCCACCATGGCTGTTTCTCCGTCCTCCATTTGGCGACCATTGTTGACCATGTCAGTATTTCCTACTTTCTGGAAGTGGCAGGTAGTTTTCAAGTGTTTTTTGATATCTTGTGTAATATGGCAGACCGGGGACTAGATCTCATGTGGCAGTGCAGAGACTTTTTTTCTTTGGTAGTCACAATAAAAATGTCAGTTGTGGAGTAGCCATTTTTAACTGTTGTCGTTGGACTGTAGGCTCTATTTAAATAGATGTAGCTGGTGATTACTATATTGGACAACATAGACCTAATGGGTTGCTCTGGATTTGGATTCAGTTTATTTGACAAGAATACTTCATAAACGATGTTGTAGTTTTCCTATTGATCATTTCAGGAAACATGAATTTCCTTCAAAAATATTAAAATTAATTAATAGTTCAGATATTGGTCTTTTCAGTTAAAGGTTAACCGCTGTGGATAATATTGCCTAAATCCATAATTTTATTTCAAGTTACAAAATGATGACTTTTCTCAGTCATGTTATTTGATATCCATAGCTAATTACTTTATGAGAAACTTCCCTTGCTGAGTTGTGTAGCTGCCTTAAAGTTAATTTTATACAAAACAACTAGGAAAAAATACCCTTGTGGGCCGAATTTGAGATAGAGTTTCTTTGTGTAGCCTTGGCTGTCCTAGAACTTGCTCTGTAGACCAGGCTAGCCTCAAACTCACCGATCCAAATTCTGGGATGACAACCACACTGGATAATTAACTTTATGCTATGTTTTTGTTTTGTTTTATTTTTGAGACAAGATTTCTCTATATAGTCTTGGCTGTCCTGGAATTTACTCTGTAGAACTGGCTAGCCTCAACTTACAGTGATCCACCTGCCTCTGCCTCTTATCTCCTGAGCACCGGGTTTAAAGGCGTGAGCCACCTCTGCCCGACTTACGTTATGATTTCTATATTCCTGATCAGTTGTAATTCAGTCTTGAGTCCCCGTCATACCCGAAGTCTGCTTGCTGCGGGCTACACAGTCGCTTTTCTCCTGGGCTCCATTCACAGCTGGATAGATGGGGTCTAGAGTCTGGTTCCTTTGTGTCCCTTCTTTTCTCTGTCCCTAAGGAGGAGAATTTGTGAGCACGTGATAACATTTGAAGCTTACAAATATGGGTCACGTACGTCTCATGCTGAGCAGCTTGGTCCTTTATTCAAGTTTTCTTACATTTTACATGTTTCAAAATAACACTAAGGCTGCTAAATGCAATCCATGTATTTTTCATTTATATTACTAGGTTATAAAGTAAAATACTGTGCTTAAAATATTTACTTTTTTAGGCAGTTTAATGAACTGCTGGAGTGTTACGTTACATAGGGAATACTCTGCATAGATTGTTTATACTTGCTCCTCTGCCCTTTGCATCAAACATTCCCTCCTTTGATCTGGTCTAGAGTTCACTGCCAAATCAAAATACTATCCCTTGTCCCATTCCTAGTACAGCTGCATCCGCATAGTGAGATTTGTGGATGTGCTGTACTTTATTCAGCTACTTTGCTTTTGATGCATGTGTGAGTTGTTTTCACTATGAGCCCTTTATGCCAAGACAAGCAGCCTTCTGCTCGTAGCATTTCGTCTCTGTCAGTTTGTTGATGTGTAAGTGAAAGTGCTTTCCAGTTTCTGCAACTGTCTTACCAAATGTCTTTGGTTTTTCGAGACAGGGTTTCTCTGTGTAGCCCTGGCTGTCCTAGAACTCACTCTGTAGACCAGGCTGGCCTCAAACTCAAAAATCCACCTGCCTCTGCCTCCCAAGTGCTGGGATTAAAGGCGTGCGCCACCACTGCCCTGCGCAAATGTCTTTATGTCACAGTCCTCTATTGTAGTATTTAAGTGTGTGTAGTGAACACTTCGGAGTAATTCAGCTTTTGTTCCATGTTTACATGTTCTTTCTCCCCTCCCTCCCTCTGTCCTGTGAATCAAATCTAGGAACTCTTACATGCTGTGTACCTACTTTGAGAAAGGCTCCTTATGCAGCTCAGGCTAGCCTCAGGCTCCTCATCCTAGTGGCTCAGCATCCTGTGGTTTACAAGTGTGCACCGCCACGCAAGAGTGTTTATATCTTACTGTAAAGTAGTTTAGTGTGGGGGGTTTTGTTTGTCAGAGCTTAGGTTTTGTTTGGATTTAATAGCCGGCTGCTGTATTCTCATGTGTCTCAGTTATTTAATGTCTTCTGACTTATTCCTCACTTAGTAGCTTCTTAGAATTCAGTGAGAAAAGATTGGTTTCTTTTATTTGTCCCCAAGATAAGTCGGGGAATGTCTTGCTGATGATAGGTGGAACTGTGACTCTTACTTGGCCTCAAAGCATAGAACACTCACATTGCATACATGCTTGTGAGATAGTCCTCTGTGTGATTGGTGCCTCTTTCCAAAATCTGCCATTGAATGATAGTCTTACTAATTTCTATTTACAT